TATAAAAAATTCAAATATTTGTAGATTGCTGCTTGTTGCGTTTCTTTTGCGTTTCAGTATAAAATAATTACGAGCTTTTGATTGTAATTCAAGCACGATCTAAAAGAGGGAGTGAGATTTCGAGTGATTTTGAAACCAACATGACATATATTTATAGTTCCATATCGAATCACTAGCAGGGTCACTACTGAAGTTGCAAGCTTTCAAATGGCACAGCTGTTTCTATTGATCTTGAATTATTTTCCCTTTACATGTTTTAGTCAATAACTTTCTGTTCATTTTCGTAATGAATACAGCAGATTAAACCTTTTGTTTGATATGTTTAACATCATACTAAAGAAAGGTTTTACTTGATGGAAAATGTGTAACAAATGAAATGAAAATTAATATCCCATTTTAAAATTCGCCATCTGTTGCAGATAAGTGCTATATCATCATAGTTTTACTTCATGGAATTTGTATAACCAATAAAATAAAAGTTACACAATCAAATTTTCTAATTTAATATTGATGATTTACTGCAATTTGCGATCCTTTAAAAAATAAATAGATGACATTTTATTAAATTACATCTGTTTTGTCACTCGTCAGAACAAGAAATCTGCATCAATGATTTTTTTTAAAAACAAGATTGATGTATAAAACAAACTGATGCTATGTTGCCCAAAAGCAAGAGAAACAAAATGATCACGCATCAAAAAAAGAAATGATGCCTTTTCACTATACATGTAGACTCAACACAGATCTTCTGTAACAAAAGAACCCCAACCCATGGACCATGAAGTTAACAATTTTTGAAAGGCCCACTTACTGATCATAACAATACACTTGTTTGAAGATGATTTTTTAAAAAGAATTAATGCATTTCCAAGATAAAATCAATAGAGCCCCATCCTAACACAAGAACATCATAATCAGCCTCATGAAATTCACAATTATGGAAAAGGCACCCTGGTCATCGAAACTATGCATTTGATTTATTTGCTAAATACCCAGGATCAGGGAAGAAGATTTTAAAGAATTAATGCATTTTCACTATATGATCAGTAAATCCTGCCCTAACACCAGTACTTAAATCAGAGGCCATCAAATTAACGATCTTAGAAGAGACACCTTTGCTCACCATAATTATGCACTTAATTTATTTTCCTAATAAGCAGGAGCAAAGAAGAAAATTTTTTAAGCATTAAGTTTTACAATATAATTAATCAAGTCCCCTCCTCACTGAAGCCATGAATCTCGGGCCTCAAATTTCACAATTGTGGAAGAGGCACCTATGCTTTTCATAACCTCTCACTTATTTTATCTGCCTAAATATTAATACCCAGGAGAAGAGAAAAATTTCAAAGAATCAATGCATTTTTACTTAAGTCCCACCCTAACACCAGAGTCCCTAGACATTGTACCATGAAATTCACTATTTTGGAAGAAGCTTCCATGCTCATCATAACTACGCACTAAGTTTGGACGAGTAATACCCAAGCGCAAAGGAGATAAAATTTGAATATTTTGAAAGAAAATGCTTTGTACTATATATTCAACAGAGCCCGCCCAAACACCAGAAGAAGCACCAGAACCCCTGACCCTTGGGCCATGAGTTTCATAATTTCGATAAAGGGTCCATCGCTTTTACAATCATGTCAACAGTTTCACTGTTTGATGTCTATAAGTAAAGAAGATTTTTAAAGAATGTTGATGGTTTGAGCCCGACCCCTTAGACCAAGAGGGTCAGGACCCATGAATTTCACAATTTTTGTTCCCTTTCATTAATAGATGCTATATGCCATACTTTGAAGAAATTGGTTCATCTGTTCCAGAGAAGAAACTGAAAATGTTTTTTTAAAATGTTAACGCATGACGCAGGTCGCGCGACGATGGACGACAACAGATAACATTAAATCACCTTAATGTGTGACTCAGTTGACCTAATAATTCTTGGATTTTATCTTTTGAATAAGAAAAAACTACACATAAAAGAATATATAGGTTATGGGATACATCTGCAAAATTTGCCTTAACCTTGAAATTACGAACAAAGAGATCATCATCACATCATTAGATTCATCTGGCTGTAGAAGCAGAAAATTTGTTGGCAGTAGTTAATCTAAAAGGGGATATTTTAAACACTTAATTAAGCATATTACCCCAGGAAATATTTGAATAACTAGTCTAGCTTTTATTGAGAACAAGTAAAAATGTTAAATAAAAGGACAAGATAGGCTAAGACCCCTTTTTGGCTCCTTGTTTGGGGTGTCTTTAGAATGATGCAATAGTTTATCAATTAAAAACATGTTGTCACCTCTGCCACAAAATGAATATTGGTTCTAAGTTATTGGATACACAGAGGCCACAGGAAGGTCAGAAAATATCTCTCATTTTTTCTCATTTTTATGCAAATTTTCATCGATTTTACAGCACATTTTGCTTCAGAAAACATAGAGCACAAGCTTGCCTATCTACTTAATTTATATATTTCATACGCTGATATCAGATGCATCATATGTATAAAAATCTTATATAGGCAAGCTTGTGTTCTATGTTTCTCGAAGTGAAAAATGTCTCAAATTTGACGATATTCGACCAGAATTGAGGACATTTGGGAAAATGTCCTACTTTGGCACCTTCTTGTGGCCCCCGTGTAAGCTTTGAATCAAAATTAGTGCTGGTTTTAAAACAAGCATCATTTTAAGTTCTTAACTACAAACTATCACAATTTTAACTGTGTTCTGATTTTTACATCGAATAAGGGTACAGATTTGGCCGTTACACAATCTTGTCCTTTACAGAAGAGACTATAAAAAGGACTCCTTGAGAATCATTTTACATGTCCTAGCGTATTTGATATTTAACTGTTGGCTTTTTTCTTTCTCATCTGTCATATTTTTCTTTCAAACATTTCAACCTTAATAGAAGCACAACATTTCATATTAAAATAGACACCAAATTTATTAGTTTTACTATGTTCTTCCTTTTGGCTCAATGTAAATCTTATACGGTTGCAATTTTGATGCACCAGATGTGCATTTCGGCAAATTATGTCTCTTCAGTGATGCTTATGCCGAAACATAGGAAATCCGAAATACTGATAATAAACAACCCTTAAAGAGCTGGAAAAAACGGCTGGGGTGCCAAAAACTGGAGCCAAATACGTCAAAGGATCAGAGCTACATGTATTCATATAGTCCTTAATTTTTAAATGAATTTTAATTTTTACTGATTTTTTTTCTTCAAATAATGCAGCCAGAAAAGCAATATGAAATGTGATACGCTGGGAAATATATTGACACGAAATTTTCTATAAATTTTCCAACCGATGAAGCATATACACTTGAAAAGAGACGAGATACATACCATTATTTTCTATCTGATGACAATGACAATAATCTACAAGGTTAGCACATCCCGTTACGAAACGGAATATATATTGTTCCCAAATATTACGACCGGTCACGGTAATTATAAACTAGTGATAAGCCGTTCGCGTCGGAGAGCCCAGGTTTGATTCTCGATCGCCAAGTCGCATCAAACCTAAGACGTAAACATAGTGATTGATTGTACCTTTTGCCATTAAAAGTGAAAGTCAAGGGTCTTTCGGGTGAGACCTTATAATTCGAGGTCCCGTATCACGGGAGGCGTTGGCACAATAAGGAATTCTCACTGCTCAATGGCCTTGAGTATAGGTCTAAATTTGACGCCCTTCATGGACATAAGGAAGGTCTTAGTAAAAGTGAAAAATTCTTGGATGGGACATTAAACTACATACATGTAATATATGTATCAAACAATTACGACATAGACATTGATCATCAGATCTATTCAGTACGATAAAATGTATTCTAAGTAAAATGTATATTTAAAGTATATTCTTTTCCTCCATTTCGTTTTCATTATGTTTTTGTGTGGCCAACGTGACAATAGATAGCTCGTTCATAAATTCATGATGTTAAACAAAAACTCTATCCTTCTTTGTTTATAAATACACGATCTACTTGAAATTTTAAACAATCTCTACACATTTTTATTGCATTCACAATACCTCTAAAAGTAACTTTTAATTAATTAATTAATTAAATTTTTCCTATTATGTATCAAAGAAGATAAAAATGATGATAAATATCATCAGATCGGCTTTACGAGTTTCTAGTTAATCTTATACTTCAAAATATCGAGACTCTATGCATTTGTCAATTTCTTTCCATTTTTATACAAAACATATTAACACTGCTGAAGAAAGACATAGAATATACGTGTACATGTAATTTATTTGCTTCTTGTTTAATTTTTGTTTGTTAGTTTGATTGTTAAGGAATGTTTAACATTTTTCTAATATCTACTTAAGACGTATATTCCTGTGTTGATCAATTCATCCAACATCTCTGAGTGAATGAAAATTCTAGAACGGACATAAAACAACATACAATCAATCAACCAATTCAACCGTATATACAAGCTCTCAACTTTAAAGTTGGATATAAGGGTTATTTCTTCAACACAGATCTAGAGATATCTATTTATTAATTTACCATACTTTTCACGATTTTAAGCTTTTCTGAATTAAAACTGAACAATTTTTATTGTACTGAAATCATGTCAAAAATGCTAATATTATTAACATTATCATTAAATACCTCTCCATAAAGAGAAAAACTTTATAGTCAATTCAAAAGGACATTTGTATTTCAGCAATATTTTGTCAAGTTGTTTCAAACTGATCAAGTGTAGTATATTAGTTAAAAAACTAAAATTTAGTTATTTTTAAAAAATTATCATAAAATCATAGATTAAAAAACCTCTTTTCACCTCTTCTTCACTAAACTGATTACTAGTATCATTGCAGGTATACTTGAGAATTTTAAAAAGTCAAAGGTAAAAGATAATATATGCATTGTCTTTATTTTGTCCAGTTTACTATTATATATATATATATATATATATATATATATATATATATATATATATATATATATATATATATATATATATATATATATATATATATATATATATATATATATTCGTGGTTTGAGGGAAAATTACTGGTTCGAGGGGATTCGAATTCGTGGTTATACTAAATCTTAACATTTCCTGGAGGATATGAATTCGTGGTTTCCTTCATACTACGAAAACAACGAAATTTAACCCCATGAAAATTTGTGATCTGACAGTATATATGTGTTTGAATAGGAGTTTTTTAAGCAAAGTTCTCTCAATTTTTTTGGTTACTTCATGTAATAATTTATAAAAACGAATTTTATTAATAAAAGGGTTTAGCACTCGAAACTGTTATACACAAGTTTCCAGAAATCACCTTTTTGCTAACACGTACTGCTTCGTAAATTGCAGGCTGAATATCGACTAGCTCGACGCAAAGTTAGGTCCGACTTCCAAAGTACAGTAACACTGCGTCTGACCTTTGGACTGTAAATGAAATATATGATAGGGTTGACTGAAAGGTTAAATAACCATACGACTCGTGCACAGATTTGAATCACTTTGCTTTCGCGTTCGCTGAGCACTTTGAAAAAGTTTAATGAAAATGTAATGGGGAATATGATAGCAGAAAAAATGTAAATGACCATAATGATCAAAATCATGGCGGACATCCTTCGAACGTACTGACTAATCCTGAATCCACTAATAGACGTCCTTAATTTGTATATTTTTGTCATGTGAAAAACTAGCATAAAGATACAAGGAACCAAGACAAGATAGCCCCTGAATACCAGTACTACAATGGCGATCTTGTTTCTTGCCACGTTAAATCTCGCAAAATAATAAATAACTCCAAACACCACGCTGAAAATCCACATTAAAATTGATAATGTCAATACATGACGTTTTCTGATCGTCCTTGATCTGAGAGGCACAGCTATCAAATAATATCGTAATCCAAGCAGCAGCACTACATGTGACGCAGACGCATGCGCTGTACTGTAGATAACTGTCATAAAAATACGGCCATTATTATCTACACAGTTTCTGTTGGTCTTTGCAAGAATCAGGTGACATAGATATTGGATCAGAGACACAAAATCCGCTATTGCTAACGCTCCTATGACCATGTAGGTAGGTTTATGAAACTGTTTCAAACGAATGATAATTCCAATTGTTGTCAGGTTAGCAAGAATTCCAAAGGCAATTATGATAATTAATATTACAAGCCATGATATATCTTCCGATTCTAAGTGAACGGGGATAATGAAACGTGTTTCTTCATCAGCAAATGACTCCTGCACTGTTGATTCAGTTGATATAAAAGAATTGTTTAGCGTAGATTCGCCCGCTCTCTGAAAGATTGAATAAACATATGGAGACATAAATACTAGAAGCTTCTAAATCAAAGCCGTGTAAAAATGTTCTGGTAGAAAATAAGTGTATCACATTTAAAAAAAAAAACAGGCTAGAAATTGAAACGCAACTTATTTCCAAGAGTAGACATGCTTCTTTTTATCTTTTTTTACGATTAGGGGAGACGTAAAAGAGATAGAAAGTTTTATGGAGTGAACAAACAATTTGACATTACGCATAAAAATATTGTTACATAATGAAAACTTCTATTTATATACTGGTAACTGACATTCATTGAAAAATAGACCGCAGATATGTAAATAGATTGTTAATTCTTTCTTGTCATGTATTCAGCATCTCATATTTTAACATTAAAATACAGATATAATATAAAAACATATAGTTTATAAACAGTACATAATCAATCTGAAATTTAATTGTCAATTTTTGTGGTTTGAAAAAAAAAATAAGAGGATCATGGAAATTTGATTTTGAAGTTGAAGAAGTGTTGATTTGTTATGAAAAAAATTACCGAAATTGTTGTCGGAAAACGAACTTGGTATTAAACAGTAATGTACCGTATAGCGGGTATTTTTAGTGCTAACTTTGGCTTATTTTAGCGGTTTTGTAGTAGACCTCTAGAATTTTAATCGCTAAATGTGCAATCTTGCTTATAAGTACCGAATACAAGAAAAATAACTTAAATAACTTTGATCAGTCTATTATTAAGCTTTATATCTTTCAACTGGTATTGGTACTTGCGTAAATTGGTATTCAAACGTATATCAAATGTACTGAAACTAATCTAAAAGATAAAGGGTAAGAGCCGCTTAGGACCTTTTTTGGCCCTGAGAATTTCTGAAAAATCAAAACTCTCAGTTTTAGTGAAATTGCAGTATTTATAACTTGGACCCCTAGTGACTGTGTATCTATTGAACATGACGTAATTTTTTCTCTAGTCAATGCATTATGACGTCATAAAATGCATCGCTCTTCCCATATCCTGTAAATTCTTTTAAAAATGACTAAAATTTTAGGGTTTTTTTTTTTCAATATTTCATATAGAGCACAACCTCTGATCCAAAATATGCAATTACATAATGAAAGATCTGTTTCTGAAGATCACAAAACATGTCTTAATTTTTGGATCATGGACTCTGCTCATATTTTAATTCTGTGCTGAAGGTAGTTAAAAACGCATTTTTTCTGCAAAATTCAAGAACATCGCATTTTCTCAAAGCCTGTTTTCCAATACCTTGATTCTCATAAAGAAATTTTGTTATAGTTAATGAAAGCACTAAGTCTCTACTTTATTTTGATATATGAAATGGGACAGAGGGTGATAACCGATTAATTGATATATGGACAGGGCCATTTTATGCATAAAGTGAACCTAGCTCTATCCTCTTTTTTGGTCATGGAACTCCGTGTCCGCCAAAAACAGTTTCCTCAAAATTATTGGCATACTTTTGAGCAAGCAAAACGCCAAATTTTACACACGCCAAAGAAAATCGCTTTACAGTACATATATTTGTATTTAAACAGAGGGTGTATTTTATTGACATAACTATATAATGGTGAAGAAAACATTTTATACTTTTTAACTCAGAAACTTAAAATCTTACCTCGCAGTTTTTCATTCCCTTAAAATACATAAGGATTTCAATAACTAGGATAATGTCCTTACACAATCGCTATCTAATCACCAAACAAGTGACACAGCGGAAACTGGTGTATATATAAACACTGGAGTATGCAACACAGTGGGGCTTTATTAAGCTTTCCAGGAAAAGAATGAAGATTTCAAGTTTTTATAATAAGCAAGTCACTTGTGTACATCAATTGCAAGAATAAAATTTTAAGGATGAATTCTAACTTTCCAAAAATACAATAAATGCAAATAATTCAAAATTGATGAAATCGATATTTCTGTTATGGAAACAAATCAATAATTATAATGTTTTTACTTCCTGTTGAAGGTAACAAAATCAACAATTTTATAAATAATTGATTGTCTCATGATACATCGACCTGCCTCTTATTGTCTCCCTCTTTCGCGGAAGCTGGGGGACATTAAATCTCATTCGTCTATCAGTCTGTCAAAAACTTTAACCTTGGTCATAACTTTTGAATGAGAGAAGGAAGTGCCTTTCATATTGCGCATGTAAATGACTTCTGACAAGAAAGACCTTACAAAATTTTCTATGACTTTTGACCCTCTGACCTTGACCTTGACGTTTGACCTACTTTTCAAATAGTTTAACAAGGGCCATAACTTTAGAATGAGACAAAATAGTGCAATGATATTTAACATGCTTTTTTCATGTGACAAAACATTTCCAAATATGCTATAATTTCTACCCAATCCCTTGACCTTAAATTTTAATCTAATTTTCAAAACTTTTAACATTGGCCATAACTTTTGAATGAGAAAAGATAGGGCGATCCTTTTTGGCATGTTCCTTACCCGTGTCAAGACATTTTCGAATAGGCTATGATTTTTTACCTCATGACCTTGAAGTCTGACTTAATTTTCAAAATTATTAACATTGCTGATAATTTCGGAATGAGAGAAGAAATCATTTCTTTTATTTGACATGTGCATTCTTATTTCAAGACTCCTCCGAATGCACTTTAGTTTTTGAACTCGTGACTTTGACCTTAAAATTGACCTACAGTCTTTTTTCATTTTTTAGCTCACCTGAGCCAAAGGCTCAAGTGAGCTTTTCTGATCAAAATTTGTCCGTTGTCTGTCGGCGTCGGCGTCGTCGTCGTCGTTGTTGTCGTAAACTTTTCACGTTTTCATCTTCTTCTCCAGAACTACTGGGCCAACTTCAATCAAACTTGGCACAAAGTATCCTTGGGTAAAGGGAATTCAAATTTGTTCAAATGAAGGGCCACGCTCTCCTCCAAGGGGAGATAATTACGAAATAGCAAAAAAAATAATGGCATTATTGAAAAATCTTCTTCTCAAGAACCAATGGGTCAGGAAAGATGAAACTCATGTGAAATTATTGTCAGGTAGTGTAGATTTAAATTTGTTCAAATCATGACCCCCGGGGGTAGGATGGGGCCTCAATGGGTGATCAAAATTTTACATAGGAATATATAGGAAAAAATCTTTAAAAATCTTCTTCTTAAGAACAGCAAAGCTATGATTGGTCATATTGATATGGAAGCATCCTCAGGTGGTGTAGATTCAAGTTTGTTCAAATCATGACCCCCGGGGGTAGGGTGGGGCCACAATGGACGATCAAAGTGTAACATATGTGTTTCCTTATTAAAAATCTTTAAAAATCTTCTCAAGAACAGCAGAGCCACGGTTTGTCATATTTATACAGAAGCATCCTCAGATAGTGTAGATTCAAGTTTGTTCAAATCATGACCTCCAGGGGTAGGGTGGGGCCACAATGAAAGTTCAAACTTGTAGAGAAAAAAGTCACAGTTAGTCAAAAAATTATGTAAGCATTCTTAGTGAGTGTAGATTCAAGTTTGTTCAAATCATGCCCCCCCCCCTCATTTTTAGGGGTAGGTAAGGACCACTTATGCATTTAAGCTTTTCAATACTAAACTGATTTTTCCTTTTTCCTAGCCACAGTGCTCAGGTGAGCGATGTGGCCCTTGGGCCTCTTGTTTTTTTTTTTTTTTTATGCATTGGTTATATCACTTTAATAAGAAAGGAAATTGCTTATATATTTTACATGTACATTAACATGAAAACACCTTTCAGAAAGAACTTTCATGTTTGATTCTATAACATTGACCTAAAAGTTTGACCTACTTATCAATAATTTAAACTTTGGCTATGACTTTTGTTCCAAAAGAGACGGGGCTTTAATATTTTTGAAAAACTTTAATATTTGGAGGATGCTATATCAATTCAAAAAGATATATATCATTTATATGATGGACATCCAAGACAATAACATTATGCAATAAATATTTGCATTCCAACCAATACGATACCGAAAGCAGGGGACCACAATTTTTGTTAAGTCTATCTGTTATGGTGATTTTAATGATTCAACTTTATATAATTGTAGGATTATCCATTGTTTCATTCTTTAGGACTAGAAACGTGTTCCTTTCAAAGGAAAAGAAAGAATCAGGAAGCAATTTTTTCACGCTTCTGTTTTCTTATATTGTTCATGTATATATTTTTGACAAATTCTTACGCAAAATTGATAATTGGCGAGAGAAATTTGTTATTTCTTTTTAATCACCATCTATCTTATTTCTCTATTTTATCTCCTCACCAATGCTCACTTTGTGAAGTAAAGATGTTAAGGCCTAAGAAAGACGGTGAGGATCTACTCATTATTTTCTACAAATAAGTAAACGATAAATAAATAAAGAAATAACGTTATCCAGTTGAGGAGATAAAAGTTTTTCATTATTTGGTAGCCTGTCAATAAAGTAGAAAGGACTCTTTTTCAAAGTCTTTAAGACTACACAGCCATTCATGATTAGCTCTTGAACAACGTAAATTTTCGTTAAAATTAAATAGGAATAATTCTACATAAAACACTTAGGAAGGAATATGATTTCTACTCAATGAAAGAAAGAATTTCCATTTTTTAAGAGTAAGAAGAATTCTTGTGCACAAAATATCCAAAACTTCCGTATAAATGTTTGCATCTCAAAATGAAATGCAAGGAAAAGACCTTTTTATTTCATAACATAACTTAAAATATTACAGAAAGCTGCCAGTTCAGTCCCCTGAGCAATCAACCCACAAATGGTTACGATTGTCGGATGCCTCCATCATTATGCTGTCGATTACAAAGAACACACTTGATGATTTACTGACTCTTGTGGGATAAAGGAATTAAAAACGCCTTTGTAACATCTTTATTCAAATAATTAAATTATAGATTCTCAATCTTAGTTCAAGTCTATTTCATTAATACATAGATTGTCCCAAATAGACGCGGTCATTTTACATTCTTTACTTGTATAATATATCAATTTTATTACGGTGTATCAAATGAAATTAAAAGTTCTGTCAGGTGACTGTAAATGATAAAAAAATTGAAAAAATCTTTGTATTGCTATGAGCAGAAAAATATGAGATTTAGAAGAGGAGTTGGCGGCTAGTACATCAAAACTTTAGAAAATAAATAAAATTTAACCAAAAAATTTCTTTCTGGATCGTGCAGCTTGCTATTCTACATGTCAAAGAGAGAAATAATGTGACGTTATTAATTTACTAGTTTTTAAATATTAAATGAATGGACAATTCCTGGTGTTTTCACTGAAAATTATTAAATTTTACGTTAAAGTATAGGAATGGAAGATGATGAAACCTGCAATTTGATGAACACTTTAAAAATCAGACCATTTTTAAGAAAAGTGTGGACTGTGACAAATAGCAAATCTCTGGGGAAATTCGACGCCATCTATATTAAATGTCATTTTGTATATCAAATATATTTACCAAATGGAACAGCTAATTGATACTTAATGTTTTAAATATGAAATATCAAATATACAGTGTATTTTTCCAAAAACTACATTTTAAACGAGTTTTAACATTTAAATAAAAAACTTGTACTTGTATATATAGAAGAGAAGAAATGTTTCTTTTGTTAACAGTTTAGGTTGGTTCAGTAAAGGCATGTAGGGAAAAACCGAACTATTTGTCCGAACTGTCTTCTTTGAGGTAAAAAAAAAAGACAAAAAGATGGGAAAGCAATCAAATTCAACGAAGTGTGGTTCCCTGCTTTCGGTGTCTCAGTGGTTGGAATGTAGTTTTTTTTATAACATATTGTACGGGTCTTGTATGTGTGTCCTGTTTTGTCTGTCCATCATACTTAAGATACTGCATTTAATTTTTGAAAATTTTTGCTAAAAATTACGGCAAAGATTAAAGCTTCTCAAAACTGCAATATGTCAAACTTAAAGTGTTTCATAGGTAATGTACCTGTAAAATATGAAAACTATCTTCTATCATTCAAAAGTTATTACAACGTAAAAAAAAATTAAAGGCTCTAGAATAAACTTTTAGATTAAAAAAGAACCCAGAAAATATTCGGAAAGGTCTTGAAACAGATAATACGCATCTCAAATAAAAAAGATAATCTCTCATTCAAAAGTCATCAGTTTGAAGTTTTTGAAATTAGATCAAATTTCAAGGTCAAAGTCATGGGGTTAAAGATCGTCGCATGTTCGGAAATGTCTTGTCAGGTGTAATGCCAGTGTCAAATATGAACGCACTACTTTTCTCTTTTAAAAGTTTTCACCAGTGTATAAATGTTTGAAAATGAGGTAAATTTTCAAAGTCAAGGGGTAAAAAACAAATAGCATATTCGGAAATATCGTCTTACAGGTAATAAACATGACAACTATAAACTCCATATCTTCTGATTCAAAAATTAAAACCAATATTAAAAACAATTTGAAAGTAGGTCCAACGTCAAAGTTAAGGTAGCGGGGTAATAGTATATTTGAAAAAGTTTTGTCATGCGTAAAGTACATGTGAAATACAAATGCCTTATCTTCTCTATTTAAAAAGTTATGACAAAGACTTGAGTTATTTTGAAAAGTAGGTCAAACTTCAGGGTCAGGGTCACAAGGTAAAATTCATAGTACATGCACATGTATATTTGTAAACGTCTTGTCACATGTAATGAACAAGTGAAATATGAAAGCCCAGGACCAAAGTAAAAGTTTTGTGAGAGACTGACAGAGGGAAAGACTGACAAAC